CAGTAACTGTATTGAGCATTTCACAATTTTTGAAGGAAATTTTTGCAGATCGATGCCCTCAATACTAGAATCAAAGCCAGACCACAACACCTGAAGCTACGTTACCCACTCTTAGTGTTAACTAGGTGGGTTCTTCGCAGTTCCCTGCTAACTAGTAGAGAGAAGATGCAGGAGACGGGGCCTACGGGTTTTTTTTTTTTTGTCCTTATCTAAGAAAACTAGAATGTCTAACCATTTGCAGATGTCATAGCAAAGGCAGCACATTCTCCTCAGTTATTTTGAGACCCTACTCCAGTCTGGAGCTTGAACGCTCGACTTCCCACCGTAGTCTACAATATGAGCTAACCAGGCGGTATATTATTCAGATGGCTGACTGTGGGGAAGATGAAATGAATCGATTCTCGTGATTGGCTGCTCGGGCTATTCGACGGGTAAGACAGGCCCATCTTGCTTGCCAATGATTGAAAGGTAATCCAAGTGTGCAGTGTTTTTGGAACTCGTTGACTAGGCCGTACTGACCCAACTCATTGTGATTTTTTTTTTTTAAGCAATCTGTGAAAGTGTAATAAAGAAGAGCCAATGCAATCGTAGTTTACCGTTTCCTCTTTTTTTCAATCGGATCTTACCTAGCTCAGGATACGAGTGCCTTCTTTTAGACATTCTTCTTTTGTTTATAATAATAATGGGTTCGTCAATTCCCTTGTCCCTGTTACTAATATCATGGATCGATTTTTCCGCATCACACGGACACGGACGGATAAGTGTACACACTTTGCAGCGGGTGTCATTGATATCTTTGTGGCTGGACATCATTTTCTTTCAAACGTAAGCGCTAACTGAAGATCGCTTTCCGTCAAACAATGACATTTCTCGAGAAATCACATAATTGACAACGTGCCCCGTTGCCAGGCGCAAGTGTTAACGGCCAGAACTACATCGCGAAAGATGACTGGTGGGTTGAATGATAGAATCTGTAGAATCTGTGCGCCTTTCACTATCGTAAGGTTGTCCTCCTATGACGCAGGTAATTGGTGAATCTAATTTGAGCGCGCGCGCGTCAAACTCTAGAATTGTTTAAAGGAAAGGGACTGGATGAAGTCGAACTTAAATTAAATTATAGAAAAATAGAACAAGTGTTCCCATAAAGGCTACAGCAGACTGGTCGACGAGAACGTAACAGTTGGTGAAACTATTCTGATAAACCACCGTCTAAACCAAACCGAAAAGGTACGCTGTCCTCGGCAAAAAGAATTGTATACCCTTCCAAACAGCAGTAAGGATACAACCAGGGAATTTCGTACATGTTACTTCAAATTAAGTGTAATCTTAATAGCGGACTGCGAGGGTCTCCCAAAAGAGATACATAACTTGTCCATATGTAGAAAGTTCGTATGACTACTTTTTCCTCTAAGCAGCTTCAGAGTTGGATCAAAAGGCACCCTTAATAAACAAAATTTCTATTCATCTCGAATGTTTTATTACAGGTTTTCATCTTCACTCAAGTAAATGAATGAAACTATGCAAAAATAACTTTAACAAGTTAAAACCACTCATTAATTTTCAACGATAGGTTCTTCCTCTTAATAAATTTACCAAATTTCTTAATAAGGGGGCGTAAAAAACTTTCCCTGGACGTATCACTTCCCACTGACAATTCTATTTTGGGATTTTGTTCAAGAAAATGAGTGTTAACAAATTCAACTCTCGTTCAGGATGTTATCGCGAGACTGAATTCCTACAGATGAATTCATCTCTGACAAAAGGCCACGAAGAAAACCATTCGAAAAGATAAGTTATGAAGTCTGTCAATCACGTCAACAATGTGCACCTTTAGCGCTTTCAATTGGCTTCAAAAAGCGACCTTTGTATATTTACAAATCAAAGGAGATTTTTCGGTTTCAGGATGGTTTTCATTTCATTGATTGCACGGCGTTCACACATTTAGCCATCGTCTGTGAAGCGCGACTTATCGCGTCGGTCATGTAGAAATCTTTTAGTTCCAAAATGCTTGGCTGCAGGGGCTGTTTCAAAGATTGCGCTTTGGAGCTCTACAAAGGAAAATAAGAAAGGACGGTTTAACACTGAAAGACTGTTCACGAAATCAAACGTCTTATTCCTACCGGAACTGTTCATATAAACCAATCAAAAAAGACTCGACACAAGTAGTCAACGGTGGGAAATTCCTTTGCATGCGCATCCCTTTGGAAAGGGCATGCGCACATGTGTGTTTCTCAAAGGCGGGATATTTTGTGAGCCGGTGCTTTTACATGAAACCTCCAAATTCAAATGTTACCGTAAAGATACAGTCACACAATGACCTCACTATTTTTTTTTTGACGAACTATTTAAAAATTGAAATCAGAATCAATCCTACCTGCATCAGACCCAAAGCCAAATTGAAGAAGTTCGCTTCCTCTACATCACCATACCGAGTCAAATTCGGTGAGACTTCGGAGAGTCTTCGCCGGATTTCTTCTAAGTTGTCGTAGGGCAGAGAATTTCCAGCGATCTGTTCCGGAAAACGAAAAAATTTCATTATCCCATCTATCTTAAATTTAGCTAGTACGAAAGGAAATATGAGATCAAGAAAGTTCCATAATTTGTTGCAAATTGACCTCTGATAGCGCTCTGATGATCTTCCAGTCATCTCTCGCGTACACGGGTGGTGTGACAGCTCTTCTTGTCTGCTGCGCCCTGCCCTCTGTGTTAACGTAAGTGGCAGTTTTCTCTGTGTAAGCTGCACCGGGTAGGATGGCGTCAGCGATGTGTGCGCCCTGGTCTCCATGGTGACCTAAAACGCAGCAGACAGGTAGTTAGACGAGAACAATTGGGGAATAATGGTAGTTCCATGACTGTTTTTTTCCGGATGCTTTTGGCAAAACGGCGAATGTCAATGTCATAAGCATCAGACCACGTGTTCTAAACTGCACACTCACACGCATACGCACACGCACGTGCGTACGCACGCACACGCACGTGCGTACGCACGCACACACACACACACACATACACATACACATACACACATCACACACCTTGGTAGACAATGAAGCAGTCATGAGGGAGATCCTCTCGTTTCACCAATCCAGCATCCTGTGCAAACGAAATACGAACATATTACAAAACTAAAGAAAGGAGCACTTCAAGATTTTTGGAAATTAAAATTCGAAAATACTTCCGTGCATGTAACAAACGCACTTTGTGATAGTCACAATATTTGTTCATGTTGTTTTTTCTGGGCCATCTGCTTTCCACGTTCAAGGCAACTTGGTTCAATAAGCAGGCTGGCCCACTGAAACCTCTGATAGCATCCCCGTTTTTAGCCCCGGACGAAGAGTCGCGGAGTCTTTAACTCAGTTACATTTGACATACTTCAGCTTTCTTGCCACAATAAAGAAGGCGCAATAGTCAACCCTTTAACTCCAGAAGTGATTAACATGTAACTTCTTCTTACATCATCCATACCTTATCGAGTAAACATGTAATGAGAGTACTCGAACTTATCAGGTAGAAATTGTTATATTGATCTAACTCCAAATTCTCGTAACTAATTTAAAAGGAAATGATTAGCAGCTAAAGGGGAGAATTAACAATCAGATCTTGATCTCTTTTATCACACTTGGTATTCACAAGGTAAACCTTTACAACCAGTTACCTATTGGTCGCCAAAATCGAGATCTTTGTACAGGAGAGCGATAAGGAGGAAAGATCGCAGAAACGGAGAAAAACTGACCGATCACTTTCTTATGAAGGGCCCCCAGTACAAAACTTGCTAAAAAGGCAGCTTTGGAAATGGTGTAACGAGCGCAAAATAACTCACAGCGCCAAGTAAGAACAGCAGTTTGGGTTTCTCAGTCATTTTGTCGACTCCAGGTTTGTATCCAATGTCCAGAGCTGCAACTTGGCTAGCCACCTGCAAAATAACAACAGCCATTGTTTAATTGTATATTACCACCTATATGTAGTGTTCAATCGTCTAACAAACGATTAGTTGACATTTTCACCTGCAATGGAAACTCTTGAAAGCGGGCATCCTCAGGAAGTGAAAAAGTTGTAAGTGACTGGAACTGGCCGCTTGCGAGAATGGTTCTCGTGGGCGGACTTCATAGATCAAAGTGACAACCCGTAGTTTGCTTGTCCCCTTTATTAAAGTAAAAATGCTACTACTGATTGGATTCCCTTCCTTATGCGTCAGCAAGAGCTTTTGAACGAGAGAATATTAAAGATTGAAATAGCTCCGGCTGCTTGCACGTCCACTTTAGAGATGCGTATTAGGCCAGACAGTTCAACCTTTTTCTAAGCGCAACAGAATGAAGCGGCTGTAAGTTTATATTCGAAAGAAATAGAAATATTAGATCTGACTTAGATAATTTTGGACAGGGTGTAAAGTCATATGTTACATACCCTGTGTAGTACATTGAGCACTTTCCATTCCTTGTCAACTTTCTTAGAACTTTTCAACTTCTGTGACATATCAGCGACTATCTGATGAGTTGCTGCACCTTCGTGTCCCTGGAGAACAGTGTTCCCCACCAGGATCATTGGACGCTCAGCATTCGCCAAGACCTAGAAATATAACCTGAAGTGTTCAATTGATCAACGAATAACATTCAATGATTATGTGTTCACGTCTTCATTTATACTCATGTGTCTCCAAGGATTTCTTCAGGGACACATCAGATTCCCTAATGCAGCTGTTTATTTCGTAACATTCAACAGCTTAAGTGAAATACCTTTGAAAACGCGTGCTTTCCAGATACAATCTCGTTCAGGGTACTAGCCGAGTCACCAAGATGCTGAAAGGTAAATAGAGGTCACGATGTACAACAAAAAATTATTACAAACTACATGTAAGCCTCTACTAGGTGAAGAGTCCCGCGCTTTAGGCTAATGTTTATAAAAATCTTCGCGAAATCAAGCGCAAAATTTGTCATTTCGCTGACTCTATCTTCGCAAGGG